CAACATAAGGCGCTAAAGGAGGCAATTGTGGCTTTCCCGCAGCCCGTGGAGCTGGCAGCAGATTCGGACAGTGGGGAGGTTGGGGAGGAAGATGGGCCAGTCCTGGAGTCTGGGGAAGGCTCGGATGAGGGCTCTGTGTCAGAGGCAGAGAGGGGGCCAGGGCCGTCCGACAGTTATCAGCTGCCTTCAGACTCAGACATCAGTGGGGCAGAAGAACAGCTGGAGCCTGTTCCCAGTGTGCCCATGCGCAGAGTTGCCAGGGGAAGGGAACAGCTAAAGGACAGGGGTCGACTTGGGAGTAAGGCCACAGGTGGACGGTGAATGGCCCCTCCCAGGGGGAATAAAAGAGGAGCGAAAGGGGAGTGGAGTTTGCAGGAGACCATTAGTTCTCTTCACTGGTTCGTGACTCTCCGAGGCTCCTGGCCAAGTTTTGCAGATCTCAGCCTGGCAGCTCTCCAAGCCAGATGAGGTCTGTGACCGTAAATCCTCCCTTGAAATACTTTGTTGGATGTGAATGAGAAAAATTCACAGTCAATCAAAGGGTTGTTTTTTTTTGCTTCATGCCCTTGGGAAGCCTCATCAGAACATTTACGACCGTCGCAGCATTTCCGTCACATGATCAAAATTCAGGCATTTACCAACCAGCCTGTATTTATAATGGGATCATATGACCGTCCTAGCCACCTTCACAAGCAGTCAATGGGAGAGGAAACCCTGACTTAACGACCACGTGATTCACTTAAAAACGGTGGCAAGAAAGGTTGTAAAATGGGGCAAAACTCTCTTTAACAAATGCCTCACTTAATAAAAAAAGTTTTGGGCTCAACTGTGGTCGTTAAGTCGAGGGCTACCTGTAGGCTAATTCTGTAAACTGCCCTGTGAAGCTCCATGAAGCGGTATGGAAGTCTAATGCTTCTGCTCTCCAGCGGCAAGTTCACGCAGCTGGCTCCATTGAAACACCGTTGTGACATCTGCCTTGTGGATTTGTAGGCTTGGGGGACAAAATGGGACCCCCAAGGTATTTCAAGGCATCGTCCTCTGGCTTACCTTCTGCGTCTAACATCTTGGGAATGTCAAGGTACTTCTCGGCGACCTCAAAAGCGTTGTTCAGATTCGTGACCGGATCGTCCTACGGAAAAGGAAAATCGCCAGAGAGGGTTAAAATTTGGTGGCGCCTACATCGCTCACCCGGAGAGGATAAAGGTGCATCCCCCCCCTCCTTTTCTCACAATCGCCAGCCGTGCCCGATTTTCTATCCAAAGCTCTTGGCTGTCCTAAAGCTTCCAAATACAAATATTCCCGTGGGAAAATGCACCAAAGCATCTTTGAAAGTCCTGTTCTAAAGATGGATCGCCCACAAATTATCGATTCTAGTATCATTTTAATGCGTGACCCAACAATTGCGCGATAGACATGTGTGCGCCGATTAAAACGCGACGTCAAATTCTCGCTGACAAATTCTCGCCGACAAAAATCACAATGACAAAAGCGCGATGACAAGCACAATAAAATAAAATAAAAATTAGGGTTAGGGTTTTGTCGCGATTTTGTCATCGCACATTTGTCGGCGCGCTATTGTCGAAAATCAATTAGCGATTTTGACGGCACTCATTTGTCCGTCGCGGTTTTGTCGGCGCGCATATGTCTATCGCGCATTTGTCGGTGAACCTTTTAATGGGTACGGGGACCCTGTTCCAAGTTAGAACGAACTAGATGAAATTCCAAATCCCTTCAGACCTGACCAGGAATGGGCTTCAAATATTGCGGCAACGGGTTCGCTGCCCCGTTGCTGGGTGGGCGTGGCTATGGTGGGTGTGGCCTAGTCGGCCTCCTGAACCACGGGGGGGATGTTATTTGCTCTCCCCAGGTTCCAGAGGCTTTGCTTGAGCCTCCCGGAGGGTGAAAACTGCTTCCCCCAGGCTCCGTTTCCAGACTTCCGGAGCCTCCAGTAGGTCCATTGTCCGCCCCCTCCCCGAGCCTTCATGAGGACCCTGCACTTACCTGGCATGATGAAAGGGCCGCTTGGAGACTCCTGGGAGGAACGGGGTGGGGTGGCCAGTCAGGGTGGCATTTGGGGGTTCGACAAACAAGGCAGAATCCTAGCCAGAGGATTGCCTAACCCCATGCAAACCCCCAGCAGCCCATCCTTGGATCTGACCATGATTTGTCTGGATATTTTAGTCCACACTCAGAGACAAAATCTCAATCTTGCGATCGATTAAGGTCAAATTCCTTTTTCTTGGTCGAGAAGCTCCAGTTGGCGAGCATGGCTTACCCTAGGAGCAGTGTTTCTCAACTCTGGCCGCTTTTAAGGTGGGCGGACTTCAACTCCCAGGATTCCCCAGCCAGCAAAGCAAAAGCTAGCTAGGGATTCTGGGAGTTGAAGTCCACCCACCTTAAAAGCGGCCAAGGTTGACCTCTGACCATAGAAAGACAATTGCTGGCTGGAGAATTCTCGGAGTTGAAGCCCACCCATCGTAAAATGGTCAAAGTGGAGAAACAGTGGCCTAGAGCAGGGATGGCTAACCTTCTTCTGAAGGTGTGGCAAAACTGTCCGCGCGCATGTGCGTGCCCACCCAACTTCACATGCGCAAGCGACCCCACCCACCCCCCACGCATGCACGAGTGACTCCCACGCGGACTTCCGGTTGACCCGTTAGGTCTGTTTTTCTCCCTCTCTAGGCTCCGGAGGCTTTCCTGAAGCCTGGGGAGGGTGAAAAAAATCAGCCGGCCGGCGTGCTGGAGCTGACGAAGACTGCCACGCCAGCAAATATGGCTACACGTGCCATAGGTTCGCCCAGAGTAACCCAGGATTTATTTATTTATTATTATTTTTGCAGAATTGGGATTTGTTCCCCAGGCCTCACTCAACTCTCCTGCATCTGGAATTGCAGGAAAAAAAAACGGGTTTACCCAGGGTTAAGGTGGAGAATATTTCAAAACCGAGAAGCGGAAGATAAAACGGCAAACCCTCTCAGTAACCCAGGATTTATTTATTTATTTATTTATTTGCAGAATTGGGGTTTGTTCCCCAGGCCTCACTCAACTCTCCTGCATCTGGAATTGCAGGAAAAAAAATGGGTTTACCCAGGGTTAAGGTGGAGAATATTTCAAAACCGAGGAACGGAAGATAAAACGGCAAACCCTCTCAAATACCTTTCTAAGCTTGTCGTATTCAATGAGTTCTGGTCGGTGTCTGTGGATCAAGGCGTTAAAAGCAAGACCGTCTTTCCAACTGTAAAATAAGGGAATAAAAAGAGAGAGGGTCAAGCCTCTTCAGAAGCCAACCGTGTCTTCGAAAGGACGGTATCTCAAAAACAGGGTGTCCCGTTGGGGCAGCCGAGTTTAACGGAAGGAGATTCACATCGGAAGGGATCTGGTGGCGCTTTTTCCAACACAGGCTCAGATCAAACTTGTGGGGCCCTTCTGAACCTTCCAATAACATAGCTTACAGGTCCCATGATAAGAAGAAATGGCAGCAGATTTGAGAATTTATGTTCTGAAATGAATAGACCATCTACTGTATTTTTCAGAGTATAAGACGCACCTTTTCCTCTCAAAAGAGGCTGAAAATCTGGGTGCGTCTTAGACACAGAATACAGCATTTTGTACCACCCGAAACCCCGCCCCCTTCGCAAAAATGGCCGTGCATAGCTTGTAGGAGGCTTTCAGAGAGCTCCTGGGGGCTGGGGAGGACAGAAATGAGCAGAAAACAGGCCGTTTTTTGCTCAATTTTGCTCCCCCAGCCCCTAGGAGCACTCTATAAGCTTCCTAAAGGCTATCCATG